TTTGTTTTGTTTTGTTTTGTTTTGTTTTGTTTTGTTTTGTTTTGTTTAAATCTGGGTGGACCACTGTTTCTTTTCTTCCGTAAGTCTCAAAGATCCCTTCCACACCGCTCAGGGTATTCCCTAACATGACGAGGCATGTTTTGCCTATCTTCCTTTGACTCTTCATCTTCAGTAAGCTTCTAGTTGTTTCACTCCAGGGCTTGTTCCTCATTCCTCATCCTTTCTTTATCTAGTTTCATTATCTATTCTTTCCCTCAGTAATTTCATCCAGTCTTGTGGCTGCAGACTTGAATATCCAAATGTCTACTTAAATTTTCAGTGAGGTCTCTAATAAACATACAACTTAACATATCCCAAATATAACTATTAAGCTTTGCTATAAAACCTGCCTCTCTCAAATTCATCCTATTACATAGCATCACCATCTATTCAACTGCTTAGGTCAAAACTGTAGTCATCCTTGATTTCTCTCTTTCATGTACACTTCACATTTAATCCATCAGTAAGTCCGATGGCACTATTTAAAAAATATACCCCAATTCTTACCATATCATCTTCAAGCCACCATCAGCTAGTACTGAATTTGTTATTATTCCCTTATGTATGCATAATGTATCTTCATCACTAGCTCCTTGGGAACCTAGTAAGGTGCTTGGAACACAAGAGAGCCTTAATATGTGTTTTTTGACAAGCTGACCAAATTACAAAGGAATTCAGTGAAAAGGAAAAAGATAAAACTACATTGATTCAGAACAATGTCCAAAGATATTATTAACTCTGGAAATGGCACAAGGGAAGATTTTGAGGCGTTGGTTATAATGTTCCACTTCTTGAATTAAATGGTGGTTATTATAGTAGTTCATTTAAAATTACTAAAGTTATGAATCTTATAGCCTTTTGTATGTATCATCTTTTTATAAAATGCTGCATTACAGGAGTAGGCAAACCAAGACTCTGGGTCAAATGTAGCTTGCAGCTTGTTTTTGTACAGCCATTCAACTAAGAATAGCTTTTAAATTTTTAAAAGGTTGCTAAGAAGAAGAGATGAATGAGATAGTATGTTGCCTACAAAGCCTAAGATATTTACTATCTGGTCCTTTACAGAAAATCCTACATTAGGATATAGGAGTAAGAGTAGATGTTTTATGGTATTAAAAGCTATTTCAAAAATCCCATATTTTAAGATGAGGATTTGATGAACAAGGTGATAAATAAGCAAGTGACCTAAAGCTCTACAGACCTGATAAAGACAATTCATAAAAAATCCATAAATAATACAAGTACTTCTAATTGACACAACCAGGGTCAATTAAATTTAATGCCAAAGGATATTAAGAAGAGACATAATTGTTGAATATTAAAGATGTGAAAGAAGAAACATTTATGATTCAGTGTTCATTTAATATAAAATTTATGGCATACATTTTAGAATAGAGTAATTTTCCATTTCCTAAGGGGTTTACATATTTTTAACTTTTTCTTTAGCTTGTAGATACAATTTCATATCTTAAGCTTAAATTCCTATTCCATCTTTCCAAATTGAAGACCAATTAAAATATTAAGCATTAAAAATATTAAATTGATTATGTGAGAGAGAAACTGTTAGGTAAAATATTAATGGAAAAGAGATTAAAATGTTTGGGGCTGTATTAAATATTTACTAGCTATAG